GTTAATGTTGGTCTTCACAAATAATCAGTACTTGATTCTATTGCCAAATCAAGGTCCTTCTAGATGTAAAAAAGCATCAAAGTTCTTCCTCATTCTGTGCATGTAAGTGCATGTGACTGAGGGTTTGGAGGTTAATTCCATTTGTGACGGCATTTTGCAATAGTTTCAGGTCGGTAATATCTTTCTCAATATGGTTGTGTGCTCCACTAAGCAGAGAAGTGGGCAGGAAAACTAAAAAGCCTTTGTGATCAGTGTGAGAGGTTTAGTCCTAGTGTGAAAGTGTACTTGATTTGTCAGAAATCATCTGCATCCCAACTGTTACTCATCTATCTTATCACCAAGAGTCTGAAAACATCTTGGAAGTGTTTTCATGAGCAAAAAACCTCCTCTGCTACAACTAGGCAAGACCCCAAACCTTTTTGATTCCTGGCACACTATTTCTGAAGCAGGAGAATGTTACTGATTGACTCTTTTCTAGCCTACACTTTAACTGAATTCAAATGCAAAAAAGGAAAGGAAAATGTTTTTTATTTTCAAAATAAAAAAGGGGGTTTTTATGTTTTAAGACTATAATGGATTTATTATTTAATCAGATAATACATTATTGAAATGGTTGATGCAGCCTATAGCAATTTGAGTGTTTCTTTTGCCTTAGAAAATGACTGTAGTTATGGGTGAGAACAATTTTGTCCCTAGATTGGTGATGAAGAAGAAAATTGGGTAAGAATAAAAAGCATTTTGGTCATGGTTTTGGCTTTTATATCACAGGATAAAATAACATTCTCAATGATATCAGCATGCAAATTTTTTAGTGACAGAATTATCATCGTGAATTTTAGGAGGTATTAGAGCAATGCAAAATAAACCATACACAGACACATCACCTCCTTTATAGGTGTTGTACTTAAAAACATTAAATCCTTCTGTGATTGTTTTCCTTATGTATTTGGGTACAAAACTGAAATCGTTGTAAGGTTTCTTGCATCCAGAGCTTAAAAAAAAAGTAAAGAACAGTTGTGATAGAATTACATTTTGTATACAAACGGCCTTCACTATCACATTATTTAACTGATTCATATCTAGTGTTGATTATATCTGTTGGAGTGTCAGTATGTTGATTGCCACCCATTTTCATTTATCTTACTAAATTCAATTCTTGTCTCTACAAATCTTGCATTTTCCATTTTTGTAGATAATTAATGTTTTCTGTAGGCTCCAAATCAAACATTTTGTCTATTTACATCTACTGAGTGCTATTTTAAACTGGTTGTGATGAATCATATATGACAGTCTTCAGGGGCTTTTAGAAAACATTGATTTTTTAAAGCTGTTTCTTCTAGCTTTGAAGATACCCAATAGTTTTTTTGAGCATGAAATTCATTTAAATCAGTATGCTAATGATATGTAGATCAACTACATATGTTTTTATGTTGAAACTCACTGACTAGCTATATTTATTGTATTGCCTACTTGTGCCATTCTTTTTAAGTTCTTGTGGATGGTTTAATGTTGCTGCAAAACTATTTTCTTTTAAAGATTGAAAATCATATTGAGATTCTTTTCCTTTGACATTTTTTCAGCTAACAAACTGGGTTGAGCTGTCTGTTCAGTTATAGGCTACCTTTCCATTTGAAATTATTCAAGCTACAGCTCTGATCTCATCTTTCCAAATAAATCCAAGATTACACAGATTTTGGCAACATGCCTTTATTGTTAATGTTATAAGAGCAATTATTTTAACTGTAGGTTAGGTCTGTTTGTCTGACTAAACATGTTTGTGGGATTTTCTTGATAAATTAATTTAAAAAATTGGCTTTGTGTACTCTTTACTTTGGCCTGTGATGCTTTCATAAAATAAAAGTCTTTGTCTAATATCTGCATGTGAATGTTAATATGATTCCAGCTCAGACTGTCTTTGGCAAATCAGTGTGTTACTGTGCCAGAGAATATGAGTGTATGAGATGCATGGGTTATGGCTCAGCTGTTTGTGGTATTCCTCCACCTACTCAGAGATTGTGGAGAATCATTTGTCTTCCATGTGTGACTGGGAACTGCCTTTAAATGCTGCCATTAGTATTCATAGTGCAGGAGCTAAAATTTCCTCAGAAGCTTTTGAAGTGTTTTATTTCCAGTATTGACAGACATATCTATTTTTCCTGTGTTCTGTCATGGAAAACATGGCACAAAATGATCTTTTCTGTGTTTCATGTGGCTGTGTAGAGAGAGGGGCACTGCCTCAGTAGAGCACTGTAGTTCATCCCTTAAGGCAGCACTGCATGCCAGGAAGACAAGGCAATTGTCTTCATGCAATTGTATCATGCAATTATTTCCTGGCTATGGAGAGAGAAGGAAGGGAAATCAAGAGAGAAATTACTGAAAGAAGAGACCTAAAGAGCTTATAAAGGAAGAGGCCCATTATTTTCTTTCAGAAATGGAAGCTCTTCTGGGACCTTTTTGATTAACAGTACAGAAACATAGAGATGTCAAGATTAAATTGTGTTTTGTGGCTGTGGTGTTTGATGGAGGTTGTACTTTACAACACATTTTTGAGAAGCTCAGAGAAATAGCAATTAATCCTTCAATGCTGAAGTTTTTATCAATTGTTAGTCATTTCCCCCATATGTATGTCTTTCAGATATATTATTATCTTTTTTCTTGTGCTACCTCCTTCTGCACTACCTTCATAACTCCTGTATGCTTTTTCTGTTCATAGTCTTCTCTCAAAGAATATGAGTCACTGTCAGGAGATCATGCTAACCTATATTATCCTTGCCCCAAACTCCTATTTCTATTGTTGTGTTCTTACATTATTTGTAGTTGCAATTACTGCAATTATTGTTGTCTATTCTGCCACATCCTCAGTGGGGGTGTCTCTGTGGGAATCTCCAGGGCCTTTGAACAAGAGCAGTTAGGCCACTGCATGTGGCCTCAGTCTTATCCCACTGCTCTTTCAACTGGTACTTTTGCTGACCTGAGAGGTCAGAGACTACTCACACAGATTTTCTGTCTTATAGTTTTCTTTTTTCTTAAATACTTCTCCAGGATTGTCTTTTCTACCCAGACTTAGCCTGCCTTAAGCTAGTATTTTATCCCAGCACTGACTCTTTGCAGAAATTAACATAACGTGGTCTATAAATGCATATTTTCCTACTCACCATTGTCTGTGCTGCCAATAACAAATGTTCTGCTGTGGTTTTATTGCCTGTCCTTTTCAATCATACCCAGTGGTTCTGTATTGAGATAATTCTCCAGAATTTGAGAGGAGGAGGACAACATTACTTAATATTTGCTGCTATTTGTGGAAGACTTTTTTTTTTTTTACTTTCAGCACTTTTAAGTTTCCAGAATATGCCCTATTTAGGGTTACTGGCAACTAGGATTTTCCTCTCTGTTCTTATCTGTCTTATCAGGATTAACCTTTAACAGTGAAGGTAATGCTTAAGATATTTCTAGGAACAGGGATGAGTCAGATACTGTTTTTGGAGGATATTGTGGAAGAAATGGCTAAATTACCCAGTTTGTCAGCAAAGCACCATTAAATATATTCATATCTGAATAATGGAGGACATAATAGAATGCAAATAATAATGGAATGTGTTTGCTTTGAGATTCTTCGGCATTCCTACCACCCTTAACATCTCCTGAGTTTTTTCCTTTATGTTGTTCTTTTATTTCATGGTAGCACTAAAGCACTGAGTGCTTTGTCTTGTAGAACAAAATGAGCCACCTTTGGGACTTGTGGTTAAAGCACCAGAGGAATGCAAAAATACCATAGTTTTTTGGTATTATCTTTAAATTATCTTTAAAGGAGGAAAGTTTCTCCATGGAGTCTCCCAGAACTTCTTCCCTGACAGTCAAGAGAAATTTAAAGTTTTGGCCCTGAATTTCTACTCTGCACGTACACATTTCTTAGTGATCTAAGTATATTATGCAGCAAGGAATTTTATCTTTAGAGATCTCATCTATTTAGCTGAGGCACTTGTACTCCCCTGTTACTGTAGTGTTAGAATGATCACAAGTTTTAATCAATATGCACTCACATAGATAGCTGTTTGACAGGAGGTGCTATAACGTGCATTTTAAAAATGAGCTGAAAGAGTGAACTCAGAGAATATCCCACACTTCTGAGCTATCAAAGGCATACTTGCCTTCAGTTTGGGTGGGCACTGATGTGCTGGATGCAGAGCACAGCATCCTTCATGTGATCTTCATCACCTAGAAGTGATGGCATGTAATCTGTGTCAAAATGATACAACAACCTAAAATTCATCCTAGAAAGATTTCAGCTTGCCTCAAAACCCAAACAAGGCAATTATGAGTATGTGGAGCTGGATCTTGGGAACCAACCATAAACTGGCTACTTTTCTTTCAGGGCACTCAGGTATGGAAGAGGCAGAGGCTGAGTTATTCATTCAAGACTGAGGAGGAACACTGGGAAATCAGCAAGTGAAATCCACCTTCTGTGTTTGAATCCTAATTAGTATAACAGCTGCTGTTCTTTTTCTAGAATTGTATTTAAGGTTAGTCTTAAGTTTGGTTTTTTGGTCTACAATAAAACAACAGGAAGTCAATATAAAAATCTTAGAAACGTTTTCTGGGAATATTTCAGGAAACTGATAGATACAAAGAACTGTCAATACGTTCAAGGAAAATGGGTCTTGGTCACAATCCTGCAGTTACTTCTGTGTGAACATAAACTGTGTTCATACATAAGACAACTTCTTCCAACCATATTATGTACATTTGTGTCTATCAATTAGTTTCAAATATTTGCCAAAGTATTTCACAAGAGTGTCCAGAACAAATTGTCAAAAACAATTATTAGATGAAGGATGCTGTTGAACTAATGTCATTCTGTAGTTATTTTTGGCAATATACAGACATCTTTGTAGGCAGACAGTCCTACAAACCAACAGAACAATTAGAACAAATGTAAACAGCATGTTTTTCTTTCTCAAAGTATCAGATATTTAAACCTGCTAAGGGAAAGTTTTCCCTTACTAGCCTATCACAGTGACAATTACACCATGCTTCTTTACTGTCTGAACTGTTTGTTCCTTGTGTCGTTCCCATTCCTCATCTTCTTTGTCCAGATCAAAAGTTTCTGGATAAACAGGAAGCTTGTCTTTTGGGCATTCCTCATAATAACTTCGAACATATTTTCCAACAGACCATCCTTTGTATTCCTCAGGCATTTTGCATTCTAGGCCATTGTAGTGAACATTGTAGTGATGCTTCAGCCAGTAGAAAAGATAATGTATGTTGTAATCACATCTCCAAGGATTCTCTCTCAGCCACAGTATTTTCAGAAAGTAAAGATCTTCCAGTACTCCATATTCAAAATTCTGCAAGCTGTTGTTTGATAGATCCAGCTCTTCTAAGTTATTGAGGCCTGAAAAAGCAGCTAATAAATAGAAAATATGAAGTTAACTTAGAAAAAAAACATTCATATCTGTGACAGGAAAAACATTCATATCTAGAAGAGGAAAAACATTTTATAATCTTTCAGCTACTGAGTTTTTGGTTTTATTTTGGCTAGAGGCTATAAAAGGATTCATCAAACATTGAATTTTAAAATATGGCTCATGCCTTCAGAAGTGAAATATTAGGGGAGTTGCATTGCTGGCAAAGCTATAAAACTTCATGACACTTCATGAGTCTGCCTGAGTGTAGAATAGAGACAGTGGAGGTTTGTGAATGCCTGATTTGCTCATTGAATCTTTCTGTCATAATACAGAAGTAGGAATATGGAAACTTATTATCAGACAATGTGCAAGGCCAGAGGTTTGTGTGTGTGTATAGGTATTTGTGTGCATGTATAGAACCTTCAAATTAATGTTTTAAGATTTGGAATGGAGTAAACAAGGGGCTTCATAATAATGCTTGTGAGTTACATTTCAGAGAGCAGTTTATGCTTTTTGCATGGATACTGTTTCATTTAATAGCAAAAGTCTTAATTTAAATAAATCAACTGTGTAATGTTAAACCTCACAAATACCATTTTACTGTTATTAACATTTCTGATGCTGTTTAATTGGCATGATGGTACTAGATAAGGCCCTTTTTGCTTGATACATTTCCTCTCTCTTTCTCTTACCCAGTTTCATAATTAAATCCAAATGAACATAGGTTATAAGCAAATTGCCAGTAAGGATACTTGAGTCCTAATAAAGTATAACTTAAAAGCAATACTATGTAGTGATTTTTAACCAAAAAGTGTTTAAATTCTTTAGGTTTGTCTGTTATTTTATCATACAATATAATTGAAAAGTAGCCTCCTGTAATGTTTTCTTAGATGTGGCAAAGATATTTTTAAAATCATTGAACTACTTAGCATTTTGGAAAACTGTTAGCCTTCAGGTTCCAGAACTACCTTTTGCACTTGGTGAGTTTAGTATTTAGAAAGAGCAACTTAAATGTGTCTTTCTCTATTGATTTTCATGATGAATATATTTCAGTGCAAACCTTTACTCTATGAATTGAAATGTACAAAATGTAAAATTTGCACCAACCTCTAGATTTTTATATCTTTCCCCCCTCCATCCAGTTTATATCTGGTAGAGACAGTATTTAATAAGAGAGAAATAATTTTAAATGAGTATTTAAAATTATTCTTACCAGGATCAATGTATGCTAGTCCATTACTGTTTAGATTTAATATCTTCAGTTCACTGACATCTTCAAACTCCTTGGCTCGTAGCTGTCTAATTTTGTTGTTGGACAAATCAAGTTTAGCTATATCTGGAGGTATGTTGCCTGGAACTTTCTTTAAATCTTAAAAAATGAAAAAGACACAACTTGTATCAGCTGTAGATTATTCTTACTGCTTAGGTATTACAGTTGCCAGACTGTATACAGTTGCCAGTATGCCAGACAGAGTATTGTCAGTCTAAAATTTTTTTTTGTTTTCTTTCCCTTTTATCCCCTCTAATTGTGTCACCATGTTTTTTCAACTTCTGAATTTCATTCTTTCTTTACTTGTATCTTTACATTTCATGTGAAGATTTTTCTCTTCATTAGTGCTTTTAGTAAAACCTCTGTGGTTTATATTTTTATTTTAATAGAACTAGACCATTCACATAGGAATAGGGTAAGTAGTATCCTATTTTATACTAATATATTACTATATATTTATATTTTATACTAATATAAAAGAAAATGTGTGAAGGGCTTGATTGCTTAAAAAAAAAGAAACCAGAGTAACTATATGAAAAACCACCCAGGCAGCAGAGTGGCATTTTGTCTGCTTCTCTCTCCTACTTCTATCACTGGCAGTTCCAAAGTAGCTGAGGACATCTCAGTCATTGGTGTCCATATCCTTACAGTGTTTTTTGCAAAAGAACTCCAGAAAGAGCAGCTCCTGCTCCAGTAGTAAGGGCCCATGCTTGAGAAGTGCAGCCTGTGGTTTGAACCCTCTCAGGGTAATGTTAACAAACCCAATCTCCAGGATTATTATATTTGCTCAATGAGTGTTCTAATCCTGCGCTGTCATAACAAGAAAATGAGCAGTGTCTCTTGTTTGACCATCTTTGAATGAAAGCAAGTAGTTTCTGGATCTGTGCTGGGCTCTGTGTGGTACTTCTGAACTTCTGAAGATATCTAATGACTCAGGTATTTTTGAGACGAGACTACAGCAACATACCAGAGTCTTCCTGCCTTATATCTGATTATGAGCAGAGCTGTGGTATTATAAATACATAAATATTATAACTACTCCAGCCTGCTGTGGTTGGATTGCTTCCTGCTTCTGCAGATGTCAAAGTTTCAGGGCCTATTTATCACCAAATGAATGCAAATAATGCTTGAATTTAGAAACTTGGAGAGTTTGGAGGTACTAGAAAGCAGACTCTTTTTTCAACTGTCCTTGAAAATCCAAGTTCTTTGTAGAAATGCAAACAAACTGCTTTTGCTTTTTTTGTTTTTGTTTTTGGCAAAACAGAATCAAGGGCATAGAGTATTTCATTCTGGAGTCCCACAAGGTCTGGCATATCACTGGTCTGATGAGATATAAGCAAATTATTTTTTAAAAAAGGGAACATACACATGGGTAAATATATTTTTAAGATGTTTCTTTCATGAGGTTTCTGGCATTAATTGAAAGTTCCTGACCTGTTGTGCTACCACTTTAGACATAGTAGTGGTAGAGCAAGTGCTTGTCATTCCATTCCTTCCATTGTAAAGGAATAATGGATTGCAGCTTTTCATCTCATCTTACTGGTTTGTTAACTGATGCACTATTTTTTTCTATTCTGAATTCTTGTCCACAGAGATTTAGAGACATTTTTCTGTCTTCCCTGGATTTTGTGTGCATTACACTCCTATTTCTGATGAAAATTCCAGTGAAATTGTGCATCTGCTGTACAATATTCACATACAAAGACAGTAAGTACAATGCTTTCATCAAAGATTGCCATATGTTCAGAAATACCAAATATCCATGGAATATCTGCATCCAGCTGTCAAACATATGCACAGTAGATCTAGTACTTCCAAAAAGTATTGAAACATACTCCGTGTGTCCATGCAAGGCATGCAGGAAGTTCTGGATTGACATAATTAGTTCTTGACCTGAAGAAGGGAGTCCCTGTATCCTCTAGTACTATTGTGTAAATGGTAAAATAACTTTATTCCTCCATTATTAATATTAAAGACAATAAACCATGCTTTCAAATACCATCAACCCCTTTGAAACTCCCATGAAGATCAGATCACATTGAATGTTTCTATGAACTTAGAGAAAAACGTAAATTTTTTTTCCTCAGAAGTTTTTGGGTATATTTGTGTATTCAGCTCATCTCTTTGATACCACTAAGAGGGGAGAGCTGTGAAGTCTTTGCTTATAATAGAATTGTAATTTATGCCTGGGCTTTGATCAATAACAGTTTACTGAATACTAAGAGTGATATGAATTAAGATTCTACGAAGGATAATTAAGATAACAATCTATAATCTAATAGTTAAGATCTTATCTACAAGGAAAGGTAAGATAGGTGAATATTAAAAAATAATAAAAGCAGCACAAATAATTAATTAAAAGATGTAGTAGCTTCATGGTAAAAGAAAGAGAAAATTGAGCCAGATAGACAAGAAAAGAATTTACAGGGTGAAGTAAAAGTAAAGAACACAGACCATTTTTATGACATACATAGTAGATAAGCCATGTAATCAAATACTGAAATCATTAATCCTTGATATTTAGATATTATCTCCTTATACTGAATTCTGAGCTTTTCTCTGGCATAAAGGTACAAGAGTAAGGGCACACTGAGGTTTTTACATAAAATCAAGTTACTCTTCAAGCTAATAGAAGTTCAGCTGAATAAAATATGCAGGCTAAGCTGTGCTAAAATTGGGGGAAAGGTCTCACAATGTTGGCTGCTTCAAGCAATGCTTCTTCTTTCAGAATTGTTATGTTAAAGAATTATTCTCCTCTGAATTTTTTTTTTTTGTTTGCTTTGTTTTGTCGTGGGATAAAATATGGGAAATATAAAGGACAAATAAATGTGCATTTTTGTGTTGATATATACCCCATCTGGTTTACCCTTAGGGCTTAACTGTGGCTCTTAGGGGCCTGAGAAAGATTTAGAGATGGAATGGATCCAAGTGTCTGAAAAACATTTCTTGAAGTCCCTTCAACTTTGAATTGTTTGCTGGGTGCTGGGAGGAAGAACACAGAGGAGGTATTTCTTTATGAAAAAAAACCACACAATTTTTTCCCTTAGTAGAAGAAATCTTGTGCAGCAAATGTGAGGATGCAAAGGCTTTCCTTTGCAATCAGGTTCCTCTGGGCATTGAAAACACAGCTGGCTGCTCCAGTCCTGCTTCACAGCTCCCTTCTGTCAAAGTTATTGCTATCTTTGTGTTTGTACAATGGAAGGAAGAAAATACACTCTGTTTTTCTGTATCAGTTCAACAGTTTCAGCAGAGTTGTTATCTGACTGATTAGTATGTTTATAGTTGTACACTCAGACTAGTTACTTAAGTAATATGCTTTTATCCCTGTTGATTTCTGTTAGATGCATTACAGCACTAAGGAATATCTGTGGAATTTGGGCTGCAGAGCAGAGAGAAAATGAAGGAAGAATTCCTGCTTATTGCTGATAATTATAAGAGAAAAACAATAAACTATTTCAGTTTAAGCAAAGGGAGTACTATACTGAGGTCATTTGCAATAAATAATGTGCAAATGAATGTAGAATGGATTAAATAAATAGAATATTAAAATCATTCATTCAGTTATAATGACAGATACAAACCTTTTCTTCTGCAGTTCAGAGTTGTCACAGGAAACACATACATGTGGCACAAAGAGGAATCAAATTCTGGTTTGGCAGGTTCAGGCTTCTCCCGTTTTATGTTTTTGGGATCCTGCCTGTCCTCTTCACTACATAGCTGATCAGCTTTTACCTGCTTTAACTTCTGATTTTTCAGTTCTATTGGGTGCACACACTTGGCATAATTTCCCAAATTCCTGTTTGTTGGAACCTGTAGCATTGTAACAAGAGTTTCTAGTTCACAACTGCAATGCCAGGGATTGTCATAGAGACGAAGGTAGTTTAGATTGGGTGTATAAATAAAAATCTCCTCAGATAAAATCTTAATTTGGTTATGCTGAAGTAAGAGCGTGGTAAGTTTATCCAAACCATAAAAAGCCTCGCTCTCAATTTTTGATATGTCATTCTGTTGTAAATCCAGACTTTTCAGCACTTTATACTTAGAAAACATATTATTCTTTAGTTTACGAATTCTGTTTCTTGCTAGCAGCATGTGTTTTATATCTTCTGGCCAATCAGGTGCCACAAAAAACAATTTTCTTTCCTGACAGTCTAAGTATTTCTCATGAAGATAAGTGTAAATATCACATGTTAGGTCTCGGGCATTGCGCTTAACAGTGCTAGATGCTCTCCTTAAAATGTTTTCCCTTTCATTGTTTCTCAAACTCCTATTCCTTGTCCTCCTACAGTCAGATGCCTTACAAAGAAGAAGTAGTAATATAATAGTAACTACTTGCATCCTGACATTCAGCTGCCCCCAGTTCTTTTCTGACAGCTGGAAAACTTGAAATTTTTGGATAGTGCGAATCAGTGTTGTACAGATCTGAGGAGGCACAGCTGGGGTGTGTGGGATCCCTGTGTTGGAAGAAAAGTAAAGCATTAGAACAGATGAAATGGGCATTTCCATGGAAGATTATATAGGTCAAGTACTCGATCATCACACTACTTGGAACTTCACAATTACTTTGAAGATTCCATGTTCTATCTCTTTTTGTTTGTTAGTTAGTTTTTACTGACTCTGGTCTACTGTTTTTCATTATGATTAAACATGGGAAACTATATGGACCAATTTCTCACTGATTTTGTTAAGAGATTCTCATGTGTTTAGGAAACACCATCCTTGGGTGGACCTTTCTGCATTTAAGTTAATCTTGGAAAATGAGCTCAAACAAGGAGTTTGAAGCTGGTCATTTCCAACTTCCTGAGTTCTGAACAACTGGAACACATGCAGAGTCAAACCAGGGAAAGCCATCAGACTGCCAGTTTTAGTTTGTGCTCAAGGATGTGCTTGTTTTCAAGTCATTTTCTCAGGATTGTTTACCCCAATTTTTGGGGTTTTGTGCTTTCATCTCAGTAATGTGCTGTGACCATGGTTCAGGATATGGGCCCAGATAGATTGAATCTATATGAGGAATTCTTACATTTAGGTCATACACTGAGGATTTGAACTGTTCACCTTTAATATGAGAGTTTTTTGGCTTAGTTGGGTTTGGGTTTTTTTGGTTGTTTGGTTTTTTGGGTTTTTTGTTTGTTTGTTTTTTGTTTTTGTTTTTAATTTTGTTTCAGGTTTAGAGTTTGTTGTTTCATTTTGGGTGTTTTAGGTGAATTAAAAATTTTGCAAGACTTAAATATCTGTGAATGCCAGGGATTAAATATAAAAACTACAAACTCTTTCTACAAACTCTAATTTATACCAAGAAGAAAGATTTTTTTCAATTGTTGTGGCTATTTGGATTACAAATCTTCCTGATAAAAAGTAGAGACTTGTGTTCTTAAGTACTTTAAAAATGGAGTTTAGTAGGATTCAGAGATAATCCGTGAAATTCTCACTGGTTTTCTACACTACCAGTGCAAAATTATATATTCAATCTCAATTAATTTTGATAAACAGGCTTCAAAACTTCACCAGGAGGAGGGTTTTGTTGTTATTGTAAGCTTGGAGTTGTCAACACTACATTTTAATCCTGTATTGTTTACAACTTCCTTTATTCCTTCAGTAGCCACTTGGGCTCTACAAATGTCTCACTAAATTCTTGATATTTTTAAGAGGTTTAATTTTAAATGTGTCTAAGAATGCAATCACCATTGTGTATTTGTCCATTTTTTTCTCAGTTTAACATTTTACATTTTAGCTTGCTTCCATTAATTTTCTTAATGTTTTTTCATTGCTTTTCCTTTATGGAAAAACAATGTTTGACTTTGCTTTAATTAATAATTTCTTAGAAAAGGCATTGTTATAGGCAAATTTTTCTTGTAATAAATTAATCTAAGAATGACATTAATATATTGTTCAGAAATTATGTTTCTTAATATATTCATGAATTTATAGGCTATTTCTAGTGTAAAGTATGTAAAAGAAATATTTTGTATAATTTGTCACTTTTTAGTGAAGTGTATATCCAGTGTTCTAGCCCAGAAACACCAATATTTTCACACAAGCTTTTGAAAATTACCATAGGTAAAATACAGCTTAAGAACTTCAAACAAAATTGTTTAGGATAGTTAAGTTAGTGATGCAAGGGCTGCTTTTCTCCCCTTATTAATAGCTCTAGTAATTTCATCATAGAAAACTCTCAAATTAGTGAGGAATGCTTTGCCCTTGATAGACTCATGCTGGCTGTTTGCTGTCATTTTTTTATACTTTGTGTGCTTGGACAGAGCTTCATGGAGGATTTGCTACATAATATCCCAGGGCCTCAAGTGGAGCTGACTGGCCTGTAGTTTCTTGGAGCTTCTTCCACTTCCTGAAAATGGAAGTGACATTTCCTATCTTCCAGTCATTAGGAATCTCCTCTGACTGTCATGACCTTTCAAAAGTGAGCGAGGCCTCTCAATGACAAGAGACAGCTTTCTTCCTCTTGGATGCACCCTGTCTCATCCCATTTCCTCAGGTGCTCCCTGACATTAACTTCTTCTACAATGGGTATTGCTTCACTCTCACAGACTCTGCTCACAGGCTCCAGCCAGGCACCTGGGAAGCCTTCAGACAGGCCTTAGCTGTAAAAACTGAGGCTAAAAAGTAATGGAGTAGCTTGTCTTTGAAGATTAACCAGTTCTCCTGGGCCCCTTTGCCCTCCAGGACTCTCTACTGTGAGATCCTGTTAAACAGATCCCTAAACTAGCCAAAATCTACTAACAAGTTCAGAGTTTTTTCTTCTACAGTTTGTCCAGTTTTCTTCTGTCTGGATTTTGAACTTCTCATTTTCTCATTTCCATGGCTTCAGTAACCAAAGCCATTCAAGTTCATTCAAGCTGACAATCTCTCAAACTCACATTCCTTCACCTGTTGAAAAACACATTCCCTAGACCACTTGTCAGCCAGCTGGATCAAGAAATTGTCTTCAACATAGTCTAGAAGTCTCCTGGATTGTTCATGCCCAGCCATATTTTCTGGCAGCATATGGGAGTGGCTGAAGTCTCTCATGAGTAACCAGGATAGGCAAGAGTAAAGCTTCCTTCAGCTGCCCAAAGGTTTCATCCACCATCTCATCTTGATCAAGCACTCTGCAGCAGATCCCTACCACAATATTTCAATGCAAAGCCCACGCATGATTTTGCATATGTGCAGCCCATCCTCAGCTTTCAGTTGCATGTGCTATCTGTGTGCATCTCTGGAGTCCCAGAGAAATCACAGCTCTGTATCAGTGCATGGATTTTGGTCCCTGCTGGTTGATTCCCATGCTACAAGTGTTTGTGTTCAGACACTTAAAACCGACCCCTTTGTGCTGCTTTTGCATGCAAGGTTTCAGAGATTTTCCTCATCACTATTTCCCCCAGTTTTCTCACCACTCCTTGTGCCTTCACTCCTTACAGGTTGTGGTTATCTTCCATCTACATACCTGTTTTTACTGATATATCTCCTCTCTCAAATCCTTTGTTGCATAAATAGATTTCAAAAGTACAAACTTTCCTCTTTAGGATTGGCTGGTGTTGAATTTCAGTTATCTGGATGGTCCTTTTGCCTGATAACTGAAATAGGGAAAAGGTGATCACAACATGGAAAAAGACACAGTTTCAACTATTACATTTTCATGTACAAGTACTGACTTTTTGTCTTTGCATTATATTGACATTCATTGTGAAACATTTATCATACTAGGAGATTTGGTCCCATTATATAAGAATGGAACAATATGAGTAGTACCTGTTCTGCAGGTCAATAAAATATGGAAGCCTTATAATTGCTCAAGTTTAATGTTCCAGAAGGTAGAACTAAACAGGAAGCATTGTGTAAATAATATTCTATTAAATTCTATTACTGGTTAGAGAAATATACCAGAATTCATTGAGAAAATTCACCAATGATTTTAGATACCAGGATTGGCTAACAGTAATCTTTGTTTAGCAAAATGTGTTAACATATGCTAACCTTCAATCAAGTGATAAGTCCCTTGTGCTCTGTAGGACCGCATAGTGTAGGTATCCTTTAAAATTATAAAATGACCATACTTCAAGGTAATAACAGTAGCATCACATCTGTCAGTATTCTACTTTGGGGTCTTCAAAGAAAATGGCTGAGATGTACAGAAATTATTATGATGATTTAAAGATACTTACTCAGGTTTTTTTCCCTTATAGATATGCATATACACACAAATATCATTTTAATATACTTCTGGCTATTTTTATTATTCAGTCAGTTTAAGTCTGGCTGAATCTGTTGTATAGAGATAGTACTATTTAAATAAAATCTGTTGTATAGAGATAATACTATTTAAATAAAATCTGTTGTAGAGAGTACTAAAGGAACTCTACGATTATTGACAAAGTAAATTACAAAGAAATATGAAACTGTTTGCTTTAATTTTGCAGGAAATTTAGAGGCATGTGTAATAGAAATACTCTTTTTCAGTTATTTGTAGGATTCTGTCTGCTATACAAAATGAAATAAATGCCCCACAGATTTAATTTATATAGCAGATCTTTTATCTTTTTAATATGTCTAAAAATATATGCTATATTCTCTTATGTATTGCACAGTTTCACAAAACTTTTAAAAGAAAATGCTATCCAAAAATTTCATGTGCATGTCCAGTTCCTCATGATGATGCAAGGAGTGTGGAAGTTAGATATGTTGATAAAAATTTATCTTTGAAAGAGAGGATTGTGGCTAGGTGCATTGTGTGAGCCAAGGCCTTGTGTGACAATTGCAAAATAAAGAGTTATTCCAAACTGATATTTGGAAGCTCAGTGAGCTGAAGGCAGAGAACTCAACAGTCTTTAAAAACTCTGCCATTCTTCTTTCAGAGGTGTCCCTAGAGACTCAAGGTCTGCCTGCCAGGTAGAATTGCTGGATTAAAAGCTGCCATGGAAGAAATGAGGTGAGTTGTTCACAAGAGCAGTCATCACAAAGATGTACGTGGGTTTGAAAAATAGCTGTACATTATTTCTTTTTCCTGTGAGGAAAAAGAAATCTATGTCTTTCAATAACATCCTCATGAAGTTCAGAAACATGTTTTTCTTTGGCATTTGCATAATACATTTAGACTTTTGTTTTTCTTTGTCTGAAATGCCATATACTCACATAATTAACATTTGTTTTGGCAAAGTTTTGCATTAGTGTCTCCAATTCTACCACTCATCTCATCAGTATTACTTTTATTATAATCTATGTTTTTCCATGTTGGCTGATATTTTGTGTTTTTAGATTTCCATATGTTTATGCTGAAAATTGGAACATAATTTTTTTGAAGTGCAGATAGCAAAGAAAAATTCTCCACTGACAAAAGACCTTTTGCAGTTATCTTGTACCTT